ACGAGCTCACATATTTTGCGTGCCTGGACTTTTGATCTTGCCTTGATTGGAAGGATTACATTCTGGTTTTGCCTTCATTGGCTGGTTCAAAATAAGAGCTCATACATTTTGCGTGTCTGGACTTTTGATCTTGTCTTGATGGGATGGATCTTATTCTGATCTTGCCTTCATTGGCTGAATCAATAATCTATCTCACCTTCATTGGTTGGTTCAACATACGAGCTCACATATTTTGCGTGTCTGGACTTTTGATCTTGCCTTGATTGGATGGATCACATTCTGATCTTGCCTTCATTGGCTGAATCAATAATCGATCTCACCTTCATTGGTTGGTTCAACATACGAGCTCATACCTTTTGCGTGTCTGGACTTTTGATCTTGCCTTGATTGGATGGATCACATTCTGATCTTGCCTTCATTAGCTGAATCAATAATCGATCTCACCTTCATTGGTTGGTTCAACATACGAGCTCACATATTTTGCGTGTCTGGACTTTTGATCTTGCCTTGATTGGATGGATCATGTTCTGATCATGCCTTCATTGGCTGAATCAATAATCGATCATGCCTTCATTGGTTGGTTCAAAATAAGAGCTCATACATTTAGCGTGTCTTAACTTTTGATCTTGCCTTGATTGGATGGATCACATGATAATCTTGCCTTCATTGGTTGGTTCAACATACGAGTTCATATATTTTGCGTGTCTGGACTTTTGATCTTGCCTTGATTATATGGATCACAATCTGATCTTTCCTTCATTGGCTGAATCAATTATCGATCTTACCTTCATTGGTTAGTTCAACACACGAGCTCATATATTTTGCGTGTCTGGACTTTTGATCTTCCCTTGATTGGATGGCTCACTTTCTGATCTTGCCTTCATTGGCTCAATCAATAATCGATCTTGCCTTCATTGGTTGGTTCAACATACGAGCTCATACATTTTGCGTGTCTGGACTTTTGATCTTGCCTTGATTGGATAGATCACATTCTGATCTTGCCTTCATTGGCTGAATCAATAATCGATCTTACCTTCATTGGTTGGTTCAACATACGAGCTCACATATTTTGCGTGTCTGGACTTTTGATCTTGCCTTGATTCGATGGATCACATTCTGATCTTGCCTTTATTGGCTGAATCAAAAATCCAACAGTATGTCATGTTAAACAATAATTCTAAGCGCAAAAAAATCCAAACTTCATAGGGTGACAATATTTTCCTTGCTTAACAATAATTCGAACATCAAAAATATCCAGACTTAACAGGGTGACAGTATATGTCTTGTTAAACAATAATTCGAAGAAAAAAGAATCCAGAGGAAGATAGGGTGATCGTATATGTTTTGTTAAACAATAATTCGAAAAAGAAAAAAATCCAGACGTCATAGACTGACAGTATATGTATTGTTTATCAATAATTCGAAGAGCACAAAATCCAGAGTAAGATAGGGCGACATTATATGTCTTCTTAAACACTAAGAAGAGCAAAAAATTCCAGACGTCATAGGGTGACAGAATATGTCTTGTTAAACAATAATTCGAAGAGCAAATAATCCACAATTGATAGGGTGATAGTATATGTCTTGTTAAACAATAATTCGAAGAAAAAAGAATCCAGAGGAAGATAGGGCGACAGTATATGTTTTGTTAAACAATAATTCGAAGAACAAAAAAATCCGGACGTCATATAGTGGCAGTATATGAGCGTCCCAATTCTATAACTCGTTCGACGCTCGGACGCACGCTCTAATGGTAGTCGGGTAGGAGTGGTAGAGCCGTTACACCTCACTGCTACCCGACTACCAATAGAGCATGCATTCGAGCGTCGAACGAGTTATAGAATTGGGACGCTCATATGTCTTGTTAAACAATAATTCGAAGAGCACAAAATCCAGAGGAAAATAGGGTGACAGTATATGTCTTGTTAAACAATCACTCGAAGAGCAAAAGATAAAGAGTTGATAGGGCGACAGTATATGTATGGTTGCAACGATAAGCACCACAGATTTCCTTAGTATGTAGCTGAGAGTAATTCCTGTGATTTTTAGAAACTTTTTTAGAAATAATTCGAATCAGTCAATTTAAAAAATAATTACTTTTATCATACTTGGGCTTGTGCGCAATGTATGGTTTGAACCATAATCACCACAGATTGACTTGAAATAAAGCTGAGAGAAATTCTTATGATTTATAGACGTACAAAACGGAATATTTTTTTTATAGATAGAGATTCGTTTTCTTAAAAAAACGTTGAGTAAAACAAATAGATTTTTGCAAATTCATCCATCATATTGGCACCGATATTTAGTATATTAAAAATCGGGTATCAGTTTCGTATTAAGCGATCCCGAAAACCCCCATGTAGCAAGTTTTAAGCGATTTTGAAGATTTTTTTAATAATCCATCCGCCATATTGTGTCCGACATTTAGAATTTTGAATAACAAACGGCGGATTCGTTTTCAGCGACCCCAAAAACCTCGAATAGCAAGTTTCAAGCGATTTTGAAATTTTTTTCAAAATCCATCCGCCATTGTGTATCCGCCATTTTGAATTTTGAAAAGCTATCAACGGATTCGTATTCAGCGACCTCAAAAACCCCCGAGAAGCAAGTTTCAAGCGATTTTGAAGTTTTTTTCAAAAAGTCGTCCGCCATTTTGGATCCGCCATTTTGAATTTTGAAAAACAAACAGCTGATTCGTTTTCAGCGACCCTTAAAACCCCCGGAGTAGGCAGTTTCAAGCGATTTTGATTGATTTCAAACAAATGACATTTACAAAAAATTCAATATCAGTTTTTAATTTTTTTATAACTGTGAAGCTCTGTAACTCAAAAACTGTTCATTATTTTGAGTTTTGCCATATACATTTTTTGTTTAGAACTTCTTAAACTAGAAAACTGCAAAGTCTAAACGAAATTGGCTGAAAGCCAAATTCAATGTAAAAAGTGCGTGGTCCTTTTAGGTTAGATTTCGAAATTATCAACAGTCGAAATAGTAAAATGTTTTCTTTGTTATTTCCTAAAATGACCACGAGCGCTGTTTTAGTCTAAAAACAATAAACATACCTAACCTAAAAGTTTAATTTGTGCTCTCTGTGTCAACATTTTATACGTGATTTTAATTTAACTACAAAATTTATGTGTCTATCGATTAACTTGATTTTTACCTAAAATTTCGATTTTGGTCTCTGTACACTCTGTGTCAATATTTTATTCGTCATTTAAATTTAATTACGAAGTTTATGTTGATAAAAGATGTAGCTCTAAAAACATTTTGAGATAAATATTTCGTTTTTCTTTCTTTAATTTCCGACAGTCATTACTTGTTTTTCGGGTGTTCAACGAATTAATAAGTTGTGTGGTAAGTAATTTCTAAAAATAATCTTTTTCATAATAAATATTGTCTATATTTTAGTAGTGCTAAAGTTAGTTTCCATGTACCGGAACAAGGTACACGTCACTGGTATGCGCTTTTGGCCGGAAATCATCACCTGTCATTCTGCCAACATGGACCTGTGCATCGCGGATGCTACGACTCAACTGACTTTTGCTGCTTCCCCTTCTCCGCGCCGCGTGGAGGGAGTACAACAAGCGTCCCATTGGTCCTTGACGAGACTTGGGGGAAGCCAGTTCGCACCGATCAAGCGACAGATATAAATATCGCGCTCTCCTGGCCCTCTCTCTCAGTCTCTGCCTGCCTTTCGAGAAGATACCACGTTGCTGCGACCGCCGCTTGCCACAAGCCAAGCCATTGGGGACCACAAGTCTTCCTCCACGGACTCGACGCCTACCAAGCGCATCCAACCGACGTGTGCCGACTTCTTCAGGGTTTGGGTCGGAATAAACCAATATATCTTTAAGAAACGTAGTTTTTCTTTTTCGACACCCAAGAAATACCAATCTGTCCTTTTCAGGACAAACATATTTCTACGTAGTTCTTTGTTCTGTAGTAAGTAGTCCTTTTCAGGACAACTTGTCTACCGTAGGAATAGTTTTGTTCTTACTTTCGAACCGCTAAGAGAAATTTTCTGTACCGACGAAGACGACGCTCTGGTGACTTAAGGCCACCGTGACCTTCTGCACCACCTTCTGAGAGGGAATTTATCTGTTCGCTTAAGGCCTCTGAGTCCTTCTGGTCCAGAGATGTTTTTTTCTCCTAGGGTAAACGAGATCGTTTAGTCCACACATGGCAAAGAATTCTCGCCAACGTCTACATCGTCGTCTACAGCGCCAGGAAACCGTTCGGAAGGGAAACACGAAGTCGACTACCTCGCTCGACTCTCCGAGCTCCGCGTCGATACCAAGTCACCCGAAGACGAGCAACGAAGGATCGTCGCCACCAATAGCCATCACGCCCCTCTCCCGGAGGGCTCCGTTTCCCTACGTAAAGTTATCAAACTGCGACGTGGGATACGTGCAAAATTCGGCCGCGCTCGACGTAACTTGTTCCCCGTGTCCGAATCATTCAACCGGGCCACCGTGTTGACGCTTGACACGTCACTCGCCGTTGTCGTTGCTAACCCAGTAGCCGCCGACACAAATGCCGCGACCAGGAAACCAGTTTGTGAACTGACACTTCACCAGGTTCACCCTGCTGTCCAGCAGCACCAGGTCTGGATTCAGAAGTGCAAAGCCTTAGTGACTAAGGTCATCCACTCTAGTAACAAATCGTCCCTGGTCATTTCTGAGGATTGTTGTACGAACGTATATTTCTACGCGTGTGTGTAGTGGTTCGACAAAAGGCGGATTGAGTAGCGTAGCGTCGAGTCCCTATACGTACGTTTCGAAACCGCCGTGGTAGAGTTCGGTCTTCGACCCCTTAAACAAAACAACGGCCCTTTTCAGGGTCACCAAACATTTTTACATGAGGAAATTCTTTCGTCCCCTACCGTTTGTTCGAACGTGTTGTTCCCCCTCGGAAAGTGAACTCGCGGAATCAAATCGCCGCGACATTCAAGATGCCATTCAAGACAACATTTTGGAACATTAAATTGAAAAATTTTACTTTATTTCTGAAGAGCATTTATTTTTTTCATTAGATGGGATTAAAATTTTAATGAAGTAATTAAAAATTAAAAAAGATTTTATGGAAAAGTAGTAGTAGTTGTGGAAAATCCGAGTAGTATTCCCTTGTCGGATTACATTCCGAAAATATCCAAATATCGCTCCAAAGGCTGTCGATTGAACGCAACGTATTCATTGAGAAACTCCAATGGTGTTTTGCGTCCGGCTTGAAGCTCCGTCCAACCATATGTAATGAATTGATCTCTCATGATGGTAATGGCTTTAGGAGTTCTGGTCAATTGGTTTCCCCTTTCCAAAGTCTTTAAGTCGAGAATGAAACCCTCCTGGAATGAGAGTAAACTTTTCGTGAATGCCCAAATGGCTGAATGGATTCCAAAGTGACTTTTCAAAACCTTGTGGTAGGATTCGATTGTATTGTTCGTTCTTTTTGCCAATCCAAAAACGCTAAAAACTCTTGGCGTTATATTCCTTAACCAGTGCCTCTCAAAGTACATTAAAAAAGCACGCATTATCCTTAAGCACCGTTGGCTTTTTGATCGCTTTATGGCTCGGTATGTTTGCTGAACGACATGGTGCGGGAGTAATCCGAGGGCTAAAATTTGGCGCAGAAATTGATTTCCCTCGCGATCGTTCGTCAGATACACTTTGAGATCAAGTTGCACAGCATTGCGATAGATGGACTGGTCATAAAAATGAATTTGTATTATTGCAGACTTCGAACTCTAGTAGGTGAGCAAAAATGAATGAAAAAGTAGCATTTTGAGGAAAAAAGTATCCTCAAAATTGAAAAAATAAGGAAAAAAGTAGCATATTTAAAGTGGAGTAAAATTAACTTTTTAGGTAAAAAATTTAAATGATAATTGTCATCTATCTAAAATGTTTAAATGTCAATAAAAAATTAAAAATTTTGTTGTAGACTTTAAATTTCAACTTTTGAATAAAGTTAACAAAAAATATTTTTTTGAATTTTTATTTAAAAAATCATAGTTTTTTTATAAACAAATTCATTTTTTTTTATTTTAACATTTTTTCAATTCTTTTTGCTTTATTTCATATCTGAGAATGATATAAATATAGTTTGCAAACAGTTTTGGAGTTAAATATTTAAATTTTTAAATATTTATAATATCTTAATATTTAAATAATTTGTTCACATAAAAAACCTTTTTTTTGGCATTTTTTCAATTTTTAGAACAGAAACTTTTTTATCTCTAGAGTTATTCATTTTCCTCGTAGAAAATAAAAATAAAATACTTTTTGATTGAAAGAATGAAAAAATTGATCAAGTGCGAGTTACACTCGCTAACCTAGGGTTCCGTTTACAATCATTTAAATTCGACAATTTTTTCTTGTCATTTAGCGCAAAAATCACAATTAAAAAATTGTTTACCAAAAAAGAGTTTTTAAACAATTCCTAATTTCCTAATATCCACGTGATAATATGTAGGTATCAATTTCAATTTTTTATGAATTCCAACCTAGCCTGCTATATTTTTCGTGAAATCTACTCGTGAAAATACGTCAGTATACCAAATTGCAATTCCTTAGCTTTAAAATTGTAAAAATTAACGAGGAAAAAAGCGTTATTCGAGAAAAATAAGTTTTTCAAAAAAGTGTACATTTAGATCAATTTCAATCAGGTCCGCCATATTTTTCGTGAAATTTACTAGTAAAAATACGTATGTGTACCAAATTGCAACTCTTTAGCTTTAAAATTGTAAAAGTTGAGAGAAAAAAACACGTTTTTCGAAAAAAAAATGTATTTAGATCAATTCTAATCGGGTTCGCTATATTTTTCGTGAAACCTAAACGTAAAAATACGTATGGGTACCAATTTTGAGTTTATTTAGTTGAAATGGCTAAATTTTGGCAGGGGGAGGGGACCAAAAAACCATAAACGATTTCATAAGGGTTCCTTCATGGTTCACTTCGTGAACAGAACCTTAAAAAAGGCAAAAAAAATTTATTTTTTAATAAACAAATTATATAAACAAGAAATTTTATCAGGCCCGTTCTAGAATTAAATGCAAACTGTTCTTATTGTTATCAGCTAAGAAATGAAATTTTAAACAATTGAAAAAGTAGAATTGTTTATAAAAAATTATTATTGTTTAAATAAAAATTGAAAAAAAATTTTTTTTTTTTGTTAACTTAATTTGAAAGTCGAAGAAAAACCAAACTTTTTCCCTTTGGCGATATTTTTCTTAAATCAATCATTTTCGAGTTAAAGGTCATTGAAAATAGGTCTATTTGTAAAAAATAAAAATTTTTTAAAATTCGTTACTCGGAAATTTGTCCTCCAAAAAAAAATTTAAAAAAATACGTATACCTTTTCTTTCTCCAAGGAATGAAAAAAAATTGTTTGCCCGAATTTAACATGTGTTTAACATCTGACGTGAAATCCCCCATATTTATTTTTATTAAATAAAATTATTATTGATATATTATTATATTTAATAAATTTTAAGGTGGTAAATGAAAGATTTAATTTTTGTTTTACACTCCTGAAATTAAAATTCTTGAATTTTGGCAATTTCTTTGACACTTTTTAGAAAAAGGTAGCATTTAATAGAATTTTGTCGAAATTAGTAGTAAAAAAGTAGCATTGTTCAAAAAAAGTGTCAAAAAAGTAAAACAGTAACACACTCAGAAGCCTGTTATTGTTATTAAATTTATAATTATTCCACACGAAATTTACCTGCGTGTAGTGATAGTAACACGCGTGGTGTTCACCGTTAGGGAAGAATGCTCGCGCACTATTCTGCAAAGCTGGTTCGTAATCCGTCATAATGGTTGTGGCACTGAATTCCGGAACGATTCTTTGTATTTCATGGAATACTGATCTGTATGCTGTTTCAGTCTTATTTTCCATAAGAGCATAAGCCAATGGGAAACCCTGTATGTTTCACAAATATAAGAATTTAACTTTTGTCTCTGATATAATTCATATCATAATTGGGTCAAACCACTGAAATTCATCTGAGAGTGGTTGCTGACATATTTTAAAAAATCTAGTTTTAATATAATCTGAAACTAGATGAATTTCTCAGTTTATTGGTCATAATATTATCGTGTAAATTTTATTTCGATTGAAATTATAATCAATTCAAAGTAGGAGTCTTAACTTCAAGTCCTAGAATTAACCTTTTTAAGTAAACAATTTTAAAATTTATTACTTCCGATACGGAGCAAAAAACCCTCACCAAATTTTCATAGCAGGTAAATTATATCAATATTAAAATATGTGCGAAACCCCAAATTTTTTGAAGCATCCAGAAAAAATGTACAAGCTTCGAAAAATTGTGAAATTTTTTTTACTCATCAAATTTTCAAATTCGAATTAGTATCTTAAAATAAAGTAATTACATAATAATTCCATCATTTTTTAATGTTGAATAAATTGATTTATGTTTCCGGTAAATAATAACATGTAATATTTAATAGTTTTTGAATAATGGCGTTTCCAAAAAAAGTGCAACACTCAAGGTTACGAAGTCACGTCGAGAACCTCCTACTTTGAATTAATTATAATTTCAAACGAAAAAAAATTTACACGATAATATTGTGACCAATAAACTCAGAAATTCATCTAGCTTTAGATTATTTTAAAACTAGATTTTTTTAAAATATGTCAGCAACCACTCTCAGATGATTTTCAATGGTTTGACCCAATTCAAAAATAATATTGAAAAACATTTTGCTTACGTGATTAAAACGTGACATCATAAATGTCACGAACATGTTACCGTCGTCTATTTGCGGCACAATTTTGAATGTCCCGTCAATATTCAAACTGTTTCCTTCATTTATTTTCTTCGCAAATAACGGATCAATAAAAATTACCGAGTTGGACCCTGCGATGTCAGTGATGTGAGACACTGTGAATTCTCCTCCATTATATTGTCGCCATGAGTCATATTCTTGTGAATTCAAAAGTTGTGCGTATTCCCTCAATGAATTCGGTCTCCGAGGCCAAGTTGTGCGCCTCCATTTGAACATTAGATTTTCACATTTTGCAAATGGAAGATGGACAGCGGCTTCAGGATGATTACGGCGTGTTTGGTTATAAATCTCCTTAAATTTATTTCCTTCATTGATTGACTTGACGCACAATTCTTGCTTCATTTTCCGTTTCTTGTTATCAATGATATCGGCGTGATGTGTGTGGTCTGGTTTTACTGTGAAAACTCCATCTTTCTCAACTCCACGGGCTTTGCACTGACCACTTTTTAATAAAATACATTCGTATTGTCTGAAAATTTTTCAATGCAATGGTCAAAACATTGTTGGGTGCGATAAAATGCAATTTTAGCAGATTAGCCATGTAAAACCTGCTGTTTCAAAAAAGATTTGGAACACATGGCAATTCAGAAGATACTTTCTTTGTTTTTTTTACTTAAGTTGTCAGATTATAAATTTTTACAAATTGACAAAAAGAATCAGGGTGTCTAGCACTTTTTGAAAATAAAATTCCAAGACTTTTCCAGGTTTTCCATGATTTAAAATAGTTTTTTACAGATCAATTTTTTGTACATTAATGAAAAATTACATTGAATGGAGAATATATAGAAGGGTTAATTGATTATTTTTCAATAATATAAATCCATTTTTAAGAAAAATAATACTTATTTGAAAATAATCATTTTTGAATAATTTATTTCAATATTTGTTTTAGAAAGAATATTACCCATGAGTGTATTTTTTAACTAGTCAATGAGACTGAAAATGTCACATTATAAGTTAAAAAAATGTAATATTAAAAAAATTGCTCTTAAAAAATATATATAACTTAGTTAATATTTATTAAAGTAAGATTTATTTTTGTTTTTCAATCACTTATCGGTAGTTTTTTATAATCAATAATATTATAGAAATATTTTATTTTAGCATTAGTATAAAAAATTTTTACTTAAAATCAGGAGATATTTCCCATGATTTTATACATTAAAAACTTCGCTCCGGAAAAATCAAAACATTTTGAACTTTTTAAATTCATAGGTTGGTGCTGAGTAATGCTGATAAATGAATTCGAAATTGTCTATTTTTTATTACTACTATCGATTTGAAAAATAATTTTTTATAGGAAACTTTATTTTTTTAAAGTAATTACTATGAAATAATTTGTATCTAAAAACGTATAAAATTCTTTTTTTAAAGTATCACATTTCTTAAAAACTAAATCGAAATGAAATTTTTCAAATTGCAATAGTTTACAAAATAATTATAAACAAATATAAATACAAATACAAACACAAAGTTTTAATTTTTAACTTCAATTATTTTCTAAAATTAATTAATTTACTGAGAAAAATAAAAGAATTAATATATTAAATATATTAAATTGTTGATGATTTTATTTACTATTTATTATATTTTATTTATTATTATGACACTTACATCGTGCCATCCGCTCTGGTTTTGTTCAGATGATACCGATAATTGTAAAATATATGGTCCTTAAATGTACGGAATTTCTCGAAATTCTCAGCCATTTTATCAGATATCAGATAAAACTTGAGTATTCTAATAAACTATTTACTGCATAATTTTCTTGAATTATTTTACTTATACGATTTAAAAATATTACTTTGGAAATTAAAGAAGAATCTACACAGTCATCCGAATTTTTTAACAAGCGTAAAAAGTAGGGAACAAAACAAAAGACTGTCAAATACGAAATATACGCTCGTCACGAAAAATACTGATGAAGTCAATGAAGCTACTATTATAAAATTAAGATGATCATAGTATTAACGAGGAAGTAAAAGGATTATAATTAAATTTGTACCTGTTGTTTAATTTTGAAAAAAATAACTTCAAACATTTTTGAAACAAAAAAGAATATCTCTATAATCAATAAAATTTGAAAAAAATTACTCTGATAAAAAAATTGACAGTACTTGATCAATAAAATTATTTTTTCATGTATTTTTTGAATTTTATATTTATAATTACATAGAACTTGGCCCTTCCTTCGGCGGGCAACGAAATATTGTGGTGTGGAGCAACAGACTGCACTCTCATACAGAAAGTATATATATTATTAAATATTATGTTATCAAAAATTTTCCTCCTCATAAATAAAAAATTTTGCAGTGTCTTAAATTACATAAAAACCGAAAAAAGTTGGTCCCCATTTTAATGGACGAATTATATTTTAAACTACTGAAAAACTATCGTCGTTCTAACACGTTAAAAATACAAAAGGATAAATTATTGATTACATTCTACAATTTAATAAATAATTATATGTGCTTATTTTACCAAAATGTCAAATTCAAAAAATTTAATTTTATAAAACCACAATAAATTTACATTTTACTAAAACAGAATTTATGCAAATTTAATCAATTTAAGTTTGAAAATACTGAATATACAAAAAACTGAACGAAAATAAAGTGATAAACTAAACATTGTTTTTTTTAAATTATAATTTAAAAATATTCTTCATAAGCAGTAAAAATTTTCTATGTAATAAAGTATTAATATATATATATATATATATATATATATATATTTTTTTTTTTTCATTTTCTTTCTTACCATGGAAATTGAGTCCATTGAAGTCCACAACGATTATCAACGAAAGAAATTTTTTTTATAACTAAATTATTATTTTACAAAAATCATTTCTAAACAATAAATTAGATTCAAAAATGTTAAAGTACGTAATGAAAATACAAAGAATAAAACCAATTAAAATCAATAAAAAAAAAATTTTTTTTTGTTCATGAACGTTGTAGACTTCAACGACATTCGAAATTGTCATTTTAAAAAATGAAGAAAAAATTCAAAGCATAATGCAGATAAGTTTTCGGGTGTACTTCCGAAGTAGGGGTACCTCCGATTTTAATAAAACTTGGTATACTAACGTATTTTGGTGCGCTGATTACGAAAATGATAGTGAAAATTGGCGCAAATTTGATTATCATGGTAAAAACCATAAAAAACACCATAAAATAATGGTTTTTTACGATTATCTCGTAAAAAACAAAAAATTTCGAAAAAAGTTTTAGACAAAAGTTGTAGATCTCAAAAAAACACACATTTTATGTTTCATGCATTTTTTACCAAAAGTCATTATTTTTCGAGAAAAATCCAAAAAACGAAAAACACCATGATAATGAAAACATATACAGCAGTCATGGTTAGACATATTATTTGACTCGTATACAGTATCATATTCACCATTAGTCAGAATCTAACGAATTCCGCAAAATACTTTCGGCCATATCCACCCCCTCTCGCCAAGGTTTTTTTTAAAAAGAAAAGCGAGCAGTACCTTACGCGGCCGAAGGCCGTGTTTACTATTTTGCGTTTACCGCTGCTGTGGACTCCACCCCACAATTTCCGCAAATTACTTTCGGACACATCCACCCCCTCTCGCCAAGATTTCTTAAAAAGAGAAGCGAGCAGTACCTTACGCGGCCGAAGGCCGTGTTTAATATTTTGCATTTACCGCTGCTGTAGACTCCACCCCACAATTTCCGCAAATTACTTTCGGACCATTTTTCTCGAAAAATAATGACTTTTGGTAAAAAATGCATAAAACATTAAATGTGTGTTTTTTTGAGATCTACAACTTTTGTCTAAAACTTTTTTCTAAATTTTTTGTTTTTTACGAGATAATCGTAAAAAACCATGATTTTATGGTGTTTTTTATGGTTTTTACCATGATAATCAAATTTGCGCCAATTTTCACTATCATTTTCGTAATCAGCGTACCAAAATACGTTAGTATATCAAGTTTCATTAAGATCGAAGGTACCCCATACTATATACGAGTCAAATAATATGTCTAACCATGACTGCTGTATATGTTTTCATTATCATGGTGTTTTTCGTTTTCTGGATTTTTCTCGAAAAATAATGACTTTTGGTAAAAAATGCATAAAACATAAAATGTGTGTTTTTTTGAGATCTACAACTTTTGTCTAAAACTTTTTTCGAAATTTTTTGTTTTTTACGAGATAATCGTAAAAAACCATTATTTTATGGTGTTTTTTATGGTTTTTACCATGATAATCAAATTTGCGCCAATTTTCACTATCATTTTCGTAATCAGCGTACCAAAATACGTTAGTATATCAAGTTTCATTAAGATCGAAGGTACCCCTACTTCGGAAGTATATCCAAGTTTTCTATAAAACGGAATTTCCAAATAAATCAAAAACTAATAATTTAATTTCAGGAACTGAATATATATAAATTATTTTTGCAAAGTAACTAAATAAGGCGAACAGCTATATACTTTGAAAAAAAATTAGCGTAAATTTTGAAAACAAGTGACGTAATTGAAAAAAAAATTGAGAGTTGAAAATTTTCGAGCGAACAATGTGATTGGAAAAAAAATGAACAACGATTTCTTATTCCCCTTAAATTTAATCCCCCTCTTATGCTCCTCTGAACTTGATTTTTTTTGTTTTCCTCAGTTTATAGTTTCTCGCGTTCGCGCAAGGATATATAAAAAATTCAAATTTTCAAATTTAATCGCCTCCCGTGCTCCTCTAAACTTGATATTTTGTTCCGCAGTTTATAGTTTCTCTCGCGTTCGCGTAATGATATAAAAATTTCAAATTTTCAAATTTAATCCCCTCTCATGCTCCTCTGAACTTGATATTTTTTTTTCGCAATTTATAGTTTATCGCGCTCGTGTAATGATATAAAAATTTCAAGAAATATATTTTTTTTTCGATATAAAGTGTGTGAAAAATGCAGCAAAGACGTGAACCGAGATTGTATCAATTTGGAGGATACGATTATAGAAAAGTCAGGGCTCAGGAAACTGTAATGTAATTATTACAATTAATTTGATTGATTGATAAAAGTCTTTATAGCCATTTTTAACTTTATGTTCAGTCCGCTAACTTTCAACTGAAAGTCGTTGCGACCATATTTTTAAAAAATCTGATTTTAATTTATGTGAAACTTGATGATCTTATGAGTTCATTGACCACAATATTATGGTGAAAATGTTATTTACTTTAATAATATTAATTATTCGAAGCAGGAGGTTCACGACGTGATTTCGTAATCTTAAATGTTGCACTTTTTTTGTAAACGTTATTTACATATTTTTCTATTTTCAAAAAAAATGAGAGCAATGTGATATTTTTTGTTAACTTCAAGTCCTGGAATTAACCTTTTTAAGTAAACAATTTTCAAATTTATTATTTCCGATACGGAGCAAAAAACCCTTACCAAATTTTCATAGCAGGTAAATTATATCAATATTAAAATATGTGCGAAATCCCAAAGTTTTTGAAGCATCCAGAAAAAATGTACAAGCTTCGAGAAAAACCCCACCTTTTTTTTGCTCAATTTTTTTTGGGAATTGTGTTCACAGGGAAGAATACTTTCCATAAGAATTTAACTTGTGCCCGATTCTGGTACAGGATAAAAAAAATTTTCTATTCTTTCAAAGAAAAACATCATTTTTCTCCAAAAATACACTAGATGTAAAAAATTTCTTGCACAAAAGTTGTTCCTCTTTGAAAG